AAGCATTAAGATTTCCCTTCACTGGAACGAAGGGTTCTAGGCCAACTCCTGAAAAACAACCCATATCATTATCCCTCCAAACTTTACAGTTGGCACAGTGCAGTCAGGCAGCTTAAATTCTCCTAGCATTCACCAAACCCAGACTTGTCCATCAGACTGCCAGATAGAGAAGCATGATTTGTCACTCCACAGAGCACGTTTCCACTGCTATAATATTTCCAGTGGTGGCATGTTTCACACCACTCCATCCATGCTCGGCCATGGAAACCCATGCCACGAAGCTCCCCGCACAGTTTTTGTGCTGATGTTAATGCCAGTCAGCAAAGTGTTGGTGACTTTTATACACTATGCTCCTCAGTGCCCGGCGACCCGCTCTGTAACTTTACGTGGTCTGACACTTTATGGCTGAGTTGCTGTGGTTCCTAAACATAGTTTCATAAACTGACTTGTTGCAACGGTGGCATCCTATTACAGAACCATGCTCAAATTCAGTGAGCTCTTTAGAACGGCCCATTCTTTCACAGATGTTTGTAAAGGCAGACTGCATGGCTAGGTGCTTGATTTGGCAATGGGACTAAATAAAACACCTGAATTCAGTGATTGAGAAGTGTGTCCCAATACTTTTGTCCATATAGTGTACTTTTTGGGGCCGCAGTATGTGCGCATGTTTGTGGTGTTGATAGTTGTAGAAAGAGAGTGTGTGTGTGTGTGTGTGTGTGTGTGTGTGTGTGTGTGTGTGTGTGTGTGTGTTTGTCAAAAGTTGAAGAAGTTGGAGTTTCTTGTGCTTTAGATAAGAGAATTAAAAATTGATCACAGAAATGAGCAGGATGCCTTGAAGTGAGGCCGACCATCTTCACTGCACAATGTAAGAAATAACGAAATAACGTGTGTGTGTGTGTGTGAGTGTGTGTGTGTGTGTTTGTGTGTGTGTGTGTGTGTGAGTGTTCTGCCTGCACTGTGAGAGAAAAATGCAGGAAAAGCAATTTAAAAAGAAAGTGGAGGGAGAGAGAGAAAAGGGGGGGGGAGGGGGGAGAAAGAGAGAGAGAGAGAAGAAAACTGAAAAGAAAGTATAGAGTTAGTTGAGAGGAGGAGAGAAGAGAATGAAGCACCAACTGTGATAACTTACTGAGAGTGTGTTCATTATTGGGCTGTGTGTGTGTGTGTGTGTGTGTGTGTGTGTGTGTGTGTGTTCTGGTAACAGAATACTTCCCATTAAAGTAATATCTCAGAATTAAAGTAAGAGTCTGATAGCAGGTCATTACTGATTAATTGAGTGTTCAGTGTGGACAGAACACAATAGATCTGTTGTCATAAAACACCGGAGAGAGAGAGAGAGAGAGAGAGAGAGAGAGAGAGCTTAAAGAGAATGAAATAGAGATAATTTAAAGAGAATGATAGAGAGAATTTAGAGAGAATTTAAAGAGAGAGAATGGGCAATAGTAAAAATTTAAAGACGAAGAGAATGAAAGAGAATTTAAAGAGAGAATGAGAAAGAGAGAGAGACAACAAGGAAGACAATTCAGAGAAAGGGAGAGAGAAAGACGGAGAACGGAAAAGAGAATTTAAAGAGAGGGAGAATGAGAGAGAGAGAGAGAGAGAGAGTATTTAAGGACAATGAAAAACAGCTTAAAGAGAGAGAAAGAAAGACAGGCAGAAAGAGTAGGAGAAAGTAAGAACAAGGATTAGAAAGACAATGAAAAAAAATAACGAATGAGAGAAAGAGATTAAGAGAAAAAGCTGAGAGAAACATGAGAGAAAACAAAAGATTGAGAAGGAAGATGAAAGATGGGGAGAAGGAAAGGGAGAGAGAGAGAGAGAGAATGAAAATGAGCGAGAGAGCATTGTATAAAGTTGAGACAGAATGTTCAGGATGAGTTTTTACAGTGAGAACTTGTGATAATTGAAGCTGCTGCTTGGCTCAATCAGTTAGGCGATGGTTTCAGTGCTGCAGCTCGTCTCACTCACTCTGATAAGCCCCTCTCTCTATAGTTAAAGCCCCTCCTGTAAGAACAGAGAGAAGACCACAACTCTCCATTTTACCAGCACTGAACAGAAGAATGTGTGGTCATCTAAAACATGATGGAGTCTGGCTGCACACACAGTTACTGCATGTCAAAGTAAAGCAGGAGTACTGCTTTAGAGCTTCACACACGTTCACTTATTTCACACATTTCTTTAGCATGGTTTGTTTTTGACAGGTGATTTTTTACATTCATATTGACTCATAATAAAGCCAATCAATCACAAAGATTAGATGTGAATGAGGTTTATTTATAGTGCTTTAATTGTGCTAGATATACATGTTAAAGATGTATTACATATTAACATCCCATGCAGAGATAACTAAAGAGCGAGAAAAAGAAGGTCCGGCTCAATGTTTAGGTCTTGTAGTAGACCTTGAAATCCATCCATCCATCATCTAAACCGCTTATCCTTCTGGGTCGCGGTGGGGTGCTGGAGCCTATCCCAGCTGTCATTGGGCGGAAGGCAGGATACACCCTGGACAGGTCGCCAGTCCATCGCAGAGACCTTGAAATATTACATGGAAATATTCAAAGTTTAAATGTCCCCAGGCGCTCAGTCTTTTAAACCGATCTATTTGCTTGAACTAGACACCTGGCATCCTTTCTTTGCTGCAAGTTCATTAATATTTGGGCTCAGTGTTTATATTAGTTGAACTGCAGCTGAAATGCAGTTAGTGTTTGGTGATATAACTGGTGTGGAATTGTGTAGAGCTGTGTAGAACTGAGGTGTAACTGCTGTCCCACAGACCCATTGTGGGGGTAGGAGAGTCGGAGCACGTTACGTGGCAGTGCATGTTGGGGACTGTAGTGCAGTGCATTGTGAAACGGGCTAATATTGATAGAAAATGAAAACACTTTTGCGGGCCGGATAGGATTGGGTGGCGGGCCTTGTGTTTGACACATGGGCTATATAGTATGTATAGTATGTAGATAGAGCTGTGGGTTCAAATCGGACAGCGGAGATGTGCAACGACTAGGAAAAACAACCCAACATGCTTAAAAGCCTGAAACAAATCATCCTAGGCTAAAGCTTACTGCCACAGTTGGCATGAGAAATGTTTATGGACTGTTTGTCTTACCTTTGATGACTTAACTCATTGAGGTGGATGTTTGCTTTGATATTTTGACACAGCCTTTTTCAGCTTTTGTGGTAAAAGAATATCAACTATCTGGTAGCATTGGGAGCGAGACAAATCCCAAACAATACTCAATCTGAACCAGGATTAGCTCAAAATCAAATGTGGCCCTTTGGGGATTAGCACAGAGAAGAGATGGAATGTTACCTTTATAATATGACAAAAAGTAAGTAATTAAGTAAGTGCTGTAGGCTGAATTGGCAGATGTATGTTAGTTAGTTTTCATGACATCACAAAAACAGTTAATTAAAAATGGGTTGATTATGCAGCCTAATTTTCATATATGAACCATATGGATGGAGGTGAACAGTACAGTCTGAAATTTCAACTGTTTACAAAATAAATCAATTATTTTATTTCACAAAGGTAAGTAAAATTGTTTTCTGTGACGCTGGCCCTTTAAGACAGGCAATATTATTTGCGATAATGAAGGGTGCGTGCGTGCGTGCATGTGTGTGTGTGATGAGTCTCAGTATGGTGCATCATCTGTCAACACTTTATTTCACTACAGCAAATAAAGCAGACAGAACACACTGCCACCCACAGAGAGGGAGAGTGGTGGAACTGATGTGTGTGTGTGTTTAAAGACAGAGGGGACAGAGCAGCACTGCTGTAGAGCGGAAAACTAGCAGAGGGAAATGAAGCTCTGTTCTAAAGAGCTCTGTTTTATATAGGAAATAAAAATTAAACCACCTCAGACCTTCTCAGACTAATCGCTCACTTTCTGTGTGTGTTTTCCTTCTGAAGAAGTCAGATCAATTCAGCAGCTGAGCAGGCGCAGCAGGAGTGAGCACTGTTTGGGATGATTTTCTGTCTGCCTCTCTCTCTCACTCTCTCTCTCGGTCTCTCTCTCTTCTTCTGTTTTAAATCCTGAGATTTTACCACAGTGTCCCTTTTGTCCTCAAAGAGAAACTGTATTTCACGATTTTATGCACGGTTTTTGGCTCTGTTCTCTGTTTAAGGTTTTGAAGAATGTTTTGTGTCTCTTAATGTGATTTTTACAGTCCAGACTTTTATCCTTGATTCTAAGTACGTCATGAGAGAGAAGTCTAAGTGCCGACTGATCAACTTCATCCTTGGGCAGGAGAAAATAGCGATATATGTCAGTCGGAAAAACAAAGTGGCACATAGTACTGACTGTTATGTCACAAGGACTCTCTCTAGCCTGGTCAGATCAATGATTTTAATTGAATCTAATTATTATAAGACCTTTCTCTCTTTTTCTCCTTGTTTCTCTTTCTTTCTCTCATTCCCTCTTTCTGTGTCCCCATCATTCTTTTTTTGCTGTTTCTGTCTGTCCATCACACTTATGTCTCTTTTTGATTTCTCGCTCTCTCTCCTCTCTTTAATTGTTTCTCTCTCTTTAGTTATCTCTCATTTTCCTTCATTGTGTCGCTCTCTTTCTCTCCCTTCTTCTCTCTCTCTATCTCTCTCCCTTCTCTTCTCTCTCTCCGTCATGCTTATCTTTCTCTTTCAGTCTCTCGTTAGTTCTCTCTCCATCATTCTCCTTTGCTTTTTCTGTCTTTTTGCCATACATATCTCTTCCCTCTCTCTCATTCTCTCTTTCTCACACTCTCTATCATTCTCTCTTAAAAATTTTTAATTCTCTCACTTCTCATCCTTATCTTCCCCTGTCTCTCTCTCTCTATCTCTCTCTCTTTATCTCTCTCACACTCTCTATCTTTAATTTTCAGTGTTGTACAATGTTCCAATGTTACCAAAGCTCAGTAACCATTTCCAGTTACACATACAGTAAGAATTACAGTAGTTATAGAGTTGATCATTATAGTAATCTCTCTCTCTCTCTCTCTCTCTCTCTCTCTCTCTCTCTCTCTCTCAGCTCCATCTATGGTACCTATAATGCATCAGGTCAGCTCCACTATGAGGAGCATCACATTGTCATGGCCACAGCCTGAGCAGCCCAATGGCATCATACTGGATTATGAGCTCCGCTACTACGAGAAGGTAGGAGAACTGTGTGTGTGTGTGTGTGTGTGTGTGTGTGTGTATGTGTGTATGTGGGTATGTGTGTTTGTCATTCCAGCAGGCTCTTCAGTGTGCAATAAATGGCCCCTATTCTACATTTCTCTTATCCTGGTATCTTCTTATAACATTATTGCATTATTTTATGTAGCCAGATCACTCACAACATATTTTATATAATCATTTTCCATCATCTCTTTATCCCTTAGAGTTAAATATATTTTTGTTGCTGTGTCTGAAGACTAATTTATGTAAATGATCAAACTGTTAAGTTCCAGTTGTAATCATCAGTGGCCGGTTGCCTCAGCTGTGCTTTACTAAATCCAAACGAGTTGCACCTCACACTAGTGTTCTAAATATTTACACCTCCTCCTGAGCAGGCATAAGTTTTGGGCAAACCATCAGGGACCAAACAGAAAGCACAAAAAGACCAAAAACATGACTTTTGGTTAACTAAGCTAAAAACTGTAAACGCTATTTGCTGTGACACTCTAATCATCGCCCTGTTTTAAACTCCAAGTATAAAGCTGATCACCCACAGCTCCAGCTCAGTGAGACTCAGCAGCTGCACAAACGGCTAAACTGAGGCTGCTGTTGTGTCGGTTATCCAGAAACCGTCCTTTAAAAAACTGGATGTTTGTTTTTCTCAGGGAAATATTAAAGAATAAACAGACAGTGACTGTAGATAATCAGTTTTATTCAGTTTAACCTGTACACATCGTTCTCTTCCATGCTGGATATTTTTTTCATAGAGAAGTCAACTGCCACTGCGTTTCCATGGTAGCGGGTTTACTGATTGGTTCTGAACATGTTGTCATCATGTTAAAGCGGTGTACACATTAGTTAGTTGTTACTAGATATGAATACCGTTTTGCGGTGCAACCAAATTCAGTAAATGGATAATTTGAAACTAACTAGTGTAACTAAGGACTCAGTAAAGACTTCACGCCCAAGACTGCAGTAACTTCATTTCCTGACATCAGTAAGAACAGTACAGTGTTTAATCTCACGCTGCAATAACTCTGCTACAGTCTGTCTGCAGTAACATCACTCATGAATGGGCAGCTGAACTGCTGTCTGCTGAATGGGTGGTCATATGTAAGTGTGATTATGGTAGTGACATCACAACCATGATGAATTCAAAACCCAGCTGTTTTTGCAGCTTATTTCCCATGTATGGACTGTCTGGACTGGGGAGTGAATGGTATGTTTTGAAACTTTTACAAAGTTTGCAGATCAACACGTCAAACTTGCACATTTCCACCAGAACTCGATCCACTGCAAATTAAACTGGACAATGTTTTTCAGAGAGTTGAACAAAGAATTTGTAAGTACCTGAGTACTTAATTCATTTTGCTGTTGTAAAATGATGAGCAAAAGCATCGTTTTTCATTGAGAGATCTGCACCTCCATGAGACCTGCATGATTAAAGAGAGAGAGAGATGTAGAAGAAATCCCAGAGGAGGAGTCCAGTGTGAGCTAATACTATTTTGGTCCAGAACGCCACATCAGTGGCAACTTTCATTTGCCTTCCAAGTCTTATGACAAGAAAAGCCTCTCTACTGTACTGATGAGGGAGGAGAGAGGGAGAGTGGGATAAAGATGGACAGAGAAAGAGAAAGAGAAAGAGAAAAAAGGTGTGTGTGTGTGAGAGAGAGAGGGAGAGGAAGGGAGACAGATATGAAAGAGAAAGTGAAATAAGGGGAGAGAGAGAGAGAGAGAGAAGTAGATTGAGAGAAGGTGTGTGATAAAGAGACAGAGAAAGAGAGCTAAGGAAGAAAGGAGAGAGAAGGAGGGAGAGAAATGGAAAGAGAGAGAGTGAAGTGAGAAAGAAAGGAGGAGGGTGAGAAAAAGATGAGAGAGAAGGAGAGAGAGAGAGCTGAGGATAGAAAGAGAGGGCGAGAGATATTAGAGAGAGTGAGGTAAGGGGAGAGAGAGTGAGAAAGAGTGGGATAAAAAGAGATGAGAGAGAAAAAAAGATCAAGGAAGAGGTGGGGGAAGAAAAGATGGAGAAGAGAGAAGGAGGTAGAGAGCGAGTAAGGTGAGGAAGGAAGAGAAGGAGGGAGAGAAAGAGATTAGAGAGAAGGAGAGCAAGAGAGAACTAGGGAAAGAAAAGAGAGAGAGAGAGAGAGAGACAGAAAAAGTATGAGAGAAGGAAAGAGAAAAAAGAGATTAGAGAGCGAGAAGGCAGGAAAGAGAAAGTGAGGTGAGGAAGAGAGAGAAAAGGAGAGTGCGAGAAAGGGAGAGAGAAATAGGAACAGAAATAGACGAGAGAGAGAGAGAGAGAGATAGAACAAGGGAAATTGAGAAAAGGAGAGTGAGAGAAAGAGCGGGATAAAGAGAGAGAGAATGAGGAAGAGAGAAATGGCAACAAAGAAAAATGAGAGAGAAAGAGAGTAAGAGAGTGCAAGGGAAAGGAGTGAGAGACAGAGAGAGAGAAGGAAGTAGAGAGAAAGATGAGAAAGAAGGACAGCAAGAGAGCTAGGGAAAGAAAAAAGATAGAGAGAGAGAAGAAGAAGAGTGGAGGAAGAGAGAAAAGAAAGAGGAGTAGAAAAAATGTGAGAGAAAAAGAAAAGAGTGACAGAGAGAGATATAGGGAAAGATAGAGAGAGAGCAGTGACAGAGCTGATGGATGTAGAGAGAGGTTAAGCGACAGACTTTCTCTTACCAGTTACACACAAACAAACAAACAAACGAGCAAAACAGATCCCTTGTTTATTTTTTCTTCTTCTTCCAGGGTTGAGATTAAACACTATGCATACAAATGTAAACACACCCTGTATGATCTGCTCAAGCCCAGAGAGACACACTCACAGTGCAGACTGATGAATAAAAAATAAACAGCGCACATAAAAACAGTGTGAACACATCACACACAACACGTGCTCATACTCTCAATGTAGTCTGTCTGAGAGTTCACACGATCATCGGAAGACCGTGAGTTTGACCCACAGGGCATCACTGGCCTCGCTCTGTCTGTGTCTGGGTGGGTAGGATGGTCTTCCCTCTCCCCTCATTACTCAACACTCAACTTTATCAGAAACATCTACCCTGTACGTCCACTCACCTGCCACTTCATTAGAAACAGTTACTTTGTATTCCTGCTCACTGGCCACTTTATTAGAAACACCTACCTTGCACATCCACTCACTGGCCACTTTATTAGAAACACTTACTGTGTACGTGCACTCAGTGGCCTCCATTATGAGAAACACTGTATGTCCACTCACTGGCCACTTTATGAGAAACACCTACCTTGTACATCCACTCACTGGCCACTTTATTAGAAACACTTACCCTGTACGTCCACTCACCTGCCACTTCATTAGAAACAGTTACTTTGTATTTCTGCTCACTGGCCACTTTATTAGAAACACCTACCTTGCACATCCACTCACTGGCCACTTTATTAGAAACACCTACCCTGTACGTCCACTCAGTGGCCACGTTATGAGAAACACTATGTCCACTCAGTGGCCACTTTATGAGAAACATCTACCTTGCACATCCACTCACTGGCCACTTTATTAGAAACACTTACCCTGTACGTCCACTCACCTGCTGCTTCATTAGAAACAGTTACTTTGTATTCCTGCTCGCTGGCCACTTAGAAACACCTACCTTGCACATCCACTCACTGGCCACTTTATTATAAACACTGTGTACTTTCACTCACTGGCCACTTTAGAAGAAACACCTACCTTGCACATTTCTGATTGACATTTCTATTTTGCTCACTTCTGTTTTGTGCTCAAGTCCCATCTTTGTAATTTGATGGTTCACATTCGTGTAGATGAGCGTCTCAAATCTGTCACTAATGTGAGTGAACCTGTGTCATGAAACAACTCGCACGCACACATCCTAATCAATAACGTCATATGAAAGAAGCAAGCGTGTCGTGAACAACAAACTAACCAGCAGAACGAGCCTTCATCACGAAGATAATTTACTCTGAAGCACTTTCAGCTGTTCATTATTAGAGCAAGATGGAGGTGAAAAAAGGTCAGTTGCTTTGCTTTTGCACCGTTTACCTGCTCTAACTGCAGGTTAGATGCTGCTGCAAAGTTGCTGAATGATGGTGCACATGCAGTGGAAAAAACACGTGAATTCTGATCTGAACGTTCTCATTAAGGTCACATGACTACAAATCAGATACATATCCAGTCTAGGACCCCGGGTGAAAGTGGCTCAGGTCAGATTTGAAAACATCAGATTTGTGTGTCCACACAGCTCTGGAATAATCAGGTTTGTTTCACATTAAGGCAAAAATGAGATTTAATCCACTTTTCAACTTGGTAATGTGAACGTAGCATTGGAGGAAGCTCATGCTAGCCTTTACTCTTTCAACTTGGTAGCATCGTGTTAGAGGGGTGGACATTGGTCATTACTAAATTAGAGGAAATATGCTGTAAAAACAATTAAATACAGTGGTTATTATAGTGTAGAGGATAACACTGCAGCCCTCAGACTGGGTTCAGTTCCCTGCCCAGACAGGCACGCCACACCATACCAATAAGAGTCCTCATGCTCTCCCTTAGACTCCCTAATGCCTGTCACTGTAACATGATAAACATCGTAAGCCGCTCTGGGTCAGAGCATCTGACAAATGCCATAAATGCACAGCAGCACCATAAAACCACAGTAATGAATATCTAAGCAGATTGTCTGACTGTTTCTCTGTAAAAGCCTTTCCACTTTTCTTCTTCATGCTTATTGTGTGACGATGTGCAGCATGAAGCAATGAGCAAGGTTATGAAAATGAGTTTAATCAGAAGCCGCAGGATGAAGATCCCTCTCCACAATGGTTTAGCGATATGCAAACACCATGAGTGGAAACACTTATTTACCTATAAATATGCATGAAGAGTAATCATCTCCTTATTTCTGCTGTGTGGCTCCTTTAGGCAAATAGATGAGCACTTCTTAAACAAATGTGGAGGGGGAAATAAGCAGCAAACGGCTTCTCGTGTAAGACACGAGAG